ATAAATAAATAAATAAATAAATAAATAAATAAATAAATAAATAAATAAATAAATAAATAAATGAATGAATAAATAAATAAATAAATAAATAAATAAATAAATAAATAAATAAATAAATAAATAAATAAATAAATAAATAAATAAATAATAAATAAATGAAATAAATAATGAAATAATAAATAAATAAATAAATAAATAAATAAATAAATAAATAAATAAATAAATAAATAAATAAATAAATAAATAAATAAACAAATGAATAAATGAATAAATAAATAAATAAATAAATAAATAAATAAATAAATAAATAAATAAATAAATAAATAAATAAATAAATAAATAAATAAATAAATAAATAAATAAAATTTGAAATAAAATTGCAGTGGTTTATTTTTTTTATTATAACTGTAGCTTTGAGAGGCATTTGAAATGCTTACAATTAAACCCCATGGAGGGGGTAAATCTTTCGGTTTCGTTTATGCACAGTCCCTAAAGTAACCACGACCCGTCAGAATTGAATCAGAGAGGCATATTAAACACCAATTACCAGCATGACAAAAATCTACAATCTTTGGCCAAATAATGAAGGCGAACACAACTTTGTCACAACATGCTTTTTACAGCGACCAGAGAGAAAAAATAAGAAGAAGCCGGAAAACAAATATATAATTCATTACATTCGACACGTAACCATGGAGACAAGCAACATGAGATGGTACACCTATTTAATTATTTGTTATTATGTCTGATATGCCATACAGTTCCCTAAAGATTCGTGACATTTTTCGGTAATAAATGACAGTCTGTGTTCTTTGTGGTACTTCAAATGATATCAATAATAGAACGATCCGCTTCATGCAATTGGTACTCTGGGATAGAACACACTCATCTCAACATTTCAATTTCAACGACCGTGACTGATACACATGTCGCGTCGACTGACCGCGAAAGCCCCTTGGCGAGAACGACAGACAACTATACCTCAGTAATCCATGTCATATTTCACAAAATTATTATTTCAGTCACGTATCAGTTTTTTATCAGATTATGTTTGCGGCATATATATACATTTGTCAGTCCAGTTGTTAGGAAACATGTGTAACCAGCTGTAAATGTGCAAATGTTTAAACATGATTTTGCATGCGTTTTATACAAATTAAAACACACTGCATTGCTGGGTGACAAATCAACATGTTCGTAAAATCAATAGTATTTAAATATGTTTACTTGTTTACAGTGATTCAGGTGGGTGTCTCTATGTCAATATACTGCCCTCTAAGACAGAATATAACTATAATGCTTCTAATAATATCAGGTTTCATTGAACTTTTGTTATATCCTCGGGGGCGGAGCTACGTCACGGTCGTTCTACGTTGCTAAGACGCGCACCACTGTACCACGTATTTCTATGGGCTTTGTGCGCGCTGCTGTGGAACGCCGGTGGAGCCGGTGAAAAGTCGAGAAAACAACACAAACTCAACTTTGAAGTAATCCTGAACAATCAAATTCATATATGTTACACACGTAGGGCTAATCTTGTTACACTGTTCAGGAGACTCTCATCAACCATCGCAAAGTACCGTTTTCTGCGAGTTTTTGGTCTTTGTTTTCACCGCGAGGGTTGCCAGGCGGTAGAAAAAGCCCGGATGTCCGCCCCCGAGGATTGGATACTTGCGAACGATACCAGAACGGGCTAAACTGAGGTACGCCGCCAGTGAACACTGAAGTACAACAATCATTAGTATGGCAAATTCGCTGGAAACCAAGTTATGTGTTCGAAAGCAATGCGGCATATACTAGTATACTAGATGGTGGAAGTGTCGAACTACATTTTATTAGGCTGACATGTAGGCGTGAGTAGGCCCTCGCCGGTCGAACTGCATCAGACCTCACTAACTTGGAGCACAGCGGAGGGCGCAACTCACGTCAGGCTAACATTTTATTTGCTCAAAAAAACAAAACAAACTTGAAACTGTAATACAAACGTATGTAAGCTGATGTGGTCCTTGTTAAATCATGGAGGTAGACAAATATGTTTTATATTATAGTCCATATTTAGACTAATACTTTTTCCATGATTGTTTCACACTGACTACAAACGAGTGCCCCACCTATGATGCAAAGTACATGACGACGTGTAATCATTTTCACCGTGACTGCCAAGCGTAACGTTGAAGGCATTGTTTTCATTACTATGCTTCCTAGTTCCTATGCTAGTATAGTTGTTTTGTCTCATTCTGCCTCGGACGGAGATCAGAGATGGAATTGCATTTATCGTCGTATGCCACGTCTGGTGTAATTAACTGAAATTAAATTGTCACTATGTCCAACAGCTGCAAAGACTCCTATTTGTCGATCAATGCTTAAACTTTAAAATGGTATCATTAACCGCAGAAGTCAATACCTAAGCTAATATCTACTATACTTTAATAAATAATGTCTCTTTCTTTGTGTGAACGCTCCAGAGGTTATTAGGATGAAAGTGGATGTATTTTGTTGTAAACCTTTGGTGATATTTTTAGTTTTGCTATATTCAACTTCAGTTAAAACGAATATGGTTATGATGGAATTAGACGCAAGAAATTTTGATGACGTAAGTACGTTGTTTTACTTATTTTCTGTTTCTGATGTGACACTAATGAAATATATACCAGTGCGAAATGCATAGGTCAGTGGAAAGATTGTGTATTCAGTTTCATTACCTAACACGTATTTAATTACACAGGTCATTGGAGATCGGTTCGTTATGGTCGAATTTTATGCCCCATGTGAGTATATATATATATTGTTATTTTTACACCATACCGTTGTCCTGGCAACGAGTGAACATGTAATGTATACCATATGCAGGGTGAATACCCCGGGAACTACATCGTTGATTATCCACCGACTATAAGAGGGCGCATCCCGAGCATCGTCCCCTCGCACGGTTCTGTAGCCGTTCAGAAATTTCTCCAACACGTAGAAACAGTAAGGTGAATCATTATACCCTGATATTTAAGATTTCCCGAGATTCAATCGACAAGATATTCATCACTCAAGACAATATCATAAAAAATAACGTCGATACAAACATTAAATATTGCCAAACTAACTTGAATTTTATCAATTTTATCAAGAACTCGAGTAGGATGTTCTCCTGTTTTTAATAAGAGTAGAGCGTCGGACGGTCGCTCATTTAAAGAGGGTCTCTACTCAGGGTAATGTTACACAGTAATTTTCTGAACATTTCTACAGTAGTAGAACTAAGAGTATTCAAGAACAAAAAAAAATGTATGGTCACCGGTGAATTTGTTGGGGTGACGCCCTCTAGTGTCAATAAAACTAAGCAAGTCATGACATAGACTAAATTAACTACAAAAATCAGCAAAACAATATTTTTTTCTCAAATATGATTTCAATATCTGGCGAATCAGTCAATTTATCAGAAAAGTATAATCAAAGTTCTGTATAGCGAAATGATACTGAATTATGCTAAATTATCAGCAATTTTTCAGAGGATTACAATTTTAATTTTCATAATTTTATTAAAAATTGTGATAATAGCAAAACAGCGATTTCATTTGGCGAGTGCTTCTATACATATATATAACAAATTAAAATAGTGGTCAATTTTTAATGTTAAATTAAATTAATATCATTATTATTATTGTTGATACCAGGGTGTACCGCATGTAAGAAATTCGCACCATCTTACGAGAACATAGCCGAGTATTTTGCGAACAGAGAAGACGTTGTCATAGCAAAGATTGACGCTTACAGTGAAAAGTCGTTGTCACAGAGATACGATATAACGGGGTTTCCCACTGTGCTTTATTTTGAGAAGGGAAACACTAAGCCATACCGGTAGGTGGCGTTTATATACTTTCTTTGCAATTTTGTCTATGTGACCGCTCGTAGCATGAACTTTACGTGTGCATTGTACATTGTTGGATGTGGTGAGTCTACCCAAAACATCGGGGTTTCCCACCTAAGGCAATACCGGTAGGCGGCGTTTACGTACTTTATTTTGAAAAGGTCGAAAAAGCAATACCGGTAGGCGGTGTTTATATAATGGCAGTATGGAAGAGTTGAGATTGCATCGGGAAACGATAGAATACCAGTATCTGAGATAACAAGTGCATTAAATTATTAATATTACACAGAGCCGTCGGTGGAGGGCGCCACTCCTGCCACTAGACTACTAGTATTTTCTGTTCACTGCGAGATCCTGCGTTATGCGTGAAATCGAACGTAAAAACATGACAAACAAAGGTCATAGCGTCGTAGTGACGTAAATACATCTCGTGGGATTCGGACAAACGCGGAAGTATTTATTGGGTCTTCCCACGTTTAATATTGTCCTATGCATATTTGCCAATGATCAATTTTGATGAATTAAGGGTATCTCAGTGTCAAATTCCCTTCTGAAATATTGGAGCTTCGACATTGACCTATAAAAAAAGAAAGAAAAGAAATTCAAGTTTAAAATCAAATCGTTTGATTTTTGTGCCAGGCGCTCGGTGTGCGCCTTTCGCGTTATACGCGAGATCTCGTAGTAAAAGGAGAATCACCTATAGTAGATTAGGGACTTAGAATCTAGTTCTGCACATGGAACTAAACATAGATATTCTGAGCTTGACGGAAATCCCCAAATGTAACATTTTTCATTGTTGAAACCATTCAAGGCCATTTACATGTGTGCTTTTTGACGTTAATATGGCTTCCTTTAATTTAGTAGAAAGGACCTATAAATTCGATTTCAGAATTCTGTTCAAGTGGGAAAAGATTTTCCTGAACTGTACAAAAAAACTTATGTGTTTACAATGGTATCATGCCACACGTGAGCGATTTTCTATAGATCACACAAAGTTGGAATGCAACTTTAGCCAGTTGAAAAAAAGAGTAACTTGTTCCACCTTTCAAAAAATAAAACCATTAAAGAAGTATGTTCATTTGGTAATCAGGTAATATGTTGCTCCAACATTTTGGCGAGAAAAACTATTACGCACAGAGGCTTAAAGCGCGGTAGTCGTCGCGCTGCGCATGTGCGAGATATATTGGTCTCATATAAACATAGATGGCGACTTTGACTGTTGCGCAGATCAACGAGTACGAACTGACACGTTTCCAAGCTTTAATTAGGTAATTTTCATGTGATTGGAAGGTATCGAAGGAGTCACCGGCGGTAATCAGTGCAAGTCGCGCCCAGGTCAAACCTCATACTTGTGATTTCCATTTGAAGAGCGCAATGGATTGTGGGAAAATTAATGTTTATCAGCACAAATGTCGAACATGCGCATGCGCGACAACTACCGCGCTTTAATATACTTGTTCCGTCATTAAAATTTTATTCTCGTTTTTGAAGTTTTAAAGGTACAAATGTGCTAAAGATGGTGACCTTGATAGAAGAGGTAGCTGGGAGATTTGCCAAAAAGTATAATACCAACGTCAAGTTCGTCACATCATGGAATTTCACTACAACCATTGTGGACAATGACAAGCATGCTCTGGTGGAATTGTACGACAAAGCACACGACGAATGCAGAAAACTTTATCCCGTCTTTGAACGGGTTGCATCGGTGTATAAGAACGATCCGGATGTGAGTATGTGGACTGAGTTTATGCTCACGTCTGTCATTGCATAAACTCGGATTTAAAGCGGTGGAGTCGTCACCTGCGCATGCGTCAGATGGCCATAGCGTGTCAATGTTTATAAACACGCGTCTACCTATGCGCCTTTGCGTTTTTAGCGTCTGTTGTTATTATCGCTTGGGACCCAGTTCCCGCGCGTGCGCAGGTAACGACCCTCCCGCTTTAACCGCACTATAATGTTTTTACTCGGAGTAAGTCTGATAATCCCCGAGTCATGAAACATCCTTACGTGTTCCAGTCGCCCAACTATCGCACGAGGGCGGGCTTGATTATTACAACAGGTATCATACATGATATCATTTCATGATTTAACATTTCTGGCATTGCAACTTCATTACCCTTATCAGACACTTCTCAATAAAGTAGAACAAGAACAACATCATAACTAGTCAATACCCAAACTCATAGTTGTATTTTTTTAAAAGTTGTCTTCTTTAAAGCGGGGAGGG